AATTATGATCCATTGACCTCAACAGAAATTAGACAGGCTGTTAAAGATGAGTAAGGTATCTTCATTGGTCAACATTTAAAAGGACATTAACCTAACAGAGGTCAGGGGCCTGATCCTCCACCTGGTTTCATGCCAGTGACACTTTGCTGAGCTCAGTATAATTGTACCAGTGTATCAGTGTCATAGGTGCATGGGGTGTATTATGTCCCCAACTTTTTTACAGTCCCTGCAGGAGTGTCAGTTTTAACACTAGGCTGAAGAGCTCTGCTTTTTGCTGGAGGGAAACCTGTACTTCCTGTTGTCCTGACGTGAGTCCTGGCTTTTAGTATCACTGTCTCTTGCTGTAGATCTTTCAGTAAATCCAAAGAAACTTGAACTCAAAGAGACGTATCCCTCTTGGAAACTATGCAGCCAACAGGAGTTTGCAAAGACATGAGACAGGATTTTTTTAATAAAATAACTTGTTGTAGTCAACTGGAATGCAGTATTGTAGGCTCCTTATGTTAGGATGGAAAAGCAAAGCTTATACATGGCACTTTTACAGGTTCTTGTGGGGGGAGGGGGAGCAGCACTTTAATTAGAGTGGCTTTGAGAGCCACTCTAATTAAAGTGCTGTGATGTCTCATGTATCAGCATCCCTGATCTTAAAAATGGTGGGAGGGGCACTTGACCTAAAGCTCGTTTGATGAGCTTCAGATAAAGCATGCCTGCCATCACTTTTAAGTGTGAGGATGCTGATACATGAGACTCATGAGGCTGCTGGAGCGTGGTAATTGCCATACTCTGACATGCTGGAATTCCAGTGCATTGGAGCAGCCTTTGTGCTCGTGTATAGGCAATCTAAGTGCCCATGTTGTCAGTATTACCTGCGTCTCTGGCCACTAGCATCAAGGACTCCATCTGCCTCCTGGCACTGACCATCAATCACAAAGTTGTTTCCAGAGTGTCCTGCCTCCTCAGTTTATTCTTTCTAGGCCTAGTCATAGTATTTTAAACATGTTCTCCTTCCCTTCACCAGTTAGTTCTGAAAAGTGGATGGTCAATAGCTGCTTTTCCATTGAATTTCTAAAGTAACTCCTTTACATGGTGGCAGTGCTTGATAGTTCTTTCCCAAATGTCTGTGTGACCAACCCCCATCTTTCGTTCCTTGTCCTAGAGAAGAAATAAACCTGTGCAGTCCTAGTAGGTCTTCCTGGTTTAACTTAAACCAGAGTCCCCCAGCATCCCAGATGCTTTGCAGCCCTGGACTGGGCTGTCTGCTCCAGAGCAGGGCTGGCCCCCCCCCTGCTCCCTAGCTGGAGCTCTGGCAGAGCCTGTAGGTTCAGCAGCATCTGCTTGGCTTCCCCCTGTTCCCTCCCCTCCCCGCCACCACTCCCTGCTCAGGCAGGGTTTCCCGCTCTCTCCTTTCCCAGAGCATGGACCATAGCCAGCATGTGGTATGCTAGCTAAAGCTTAGAGGTGTCTGTGTAAGGCAGACAGGACAGTGTCTGCTTAGGGCTTTTTGGAGCTAATCAACAGGTCAGCTGGTAATGTCCTTTTTCTCCTTCCTTGAAAAAAGCTGTTTAAGAAGAATTTAAATTAATGAGAGAGGCTTTTGTTTTCTTGATGGGGTGCTAAACACTGTATTATCAACTCCCTGCTGGCTCCCTCCCTGGTCAGGAGCAGTGAGGGGGTGTGTGCTCCCTAATTGGAGCATCCTGCTGAGGCCTGTCCATGCCCCCCCTCAGCTCAGCACTATGGAAGGGAAGGGAAGACTTGCCCTAGTGCCCTCCAGCTTCTAGCCTGAGCCACTGCAGGGATGTGTCTGCATTTTCTCAGTCCAGAGGGAATGTCTGTGCACTTGCAAACTGGTTCAGCCTTGCCAGGTTAGACTGACTTGCAAAGATTGAATCAATTCAGGCTCAGGCTTTTTGAATTACTGTCCCTAGCCAATATGATAGTGTATAGGGAAACTGAGCCATGCATACTTTTAATTAAAAAATAATTTAGAAATTTCCCAGGCAACTCGCTTAGAAGAAGGAAAACTATAGTTTTGAACCAAGGGTGTCAGGCTTGGAAAGCCAGAGTATAAAGTTCACTCAGTAGATGTGAACAGATATCTGTGTCAAATATATGTAAGTTGCCAACCCCTAAACAGGGAATAATAAGAAAGAAGATGCTAACAATACAAGATTTTTCCACATTCTCTACAATTAGTGTTTATAGGAATGAGAAGCAGATATATAAGCACAGATTAGGGAAACTAGTTGTAAAAATATGTAATACCAGATGATTGAACTAACTAGAAATAATGTTTACAGTCAAATTCACTTTTCACTATAACTTGCGTTTGGTTACTTGTTCTTCATGGAACTTGGTCAGTGAAAATAGATTGGTCTTCCAAAGCTTTACTTAATTCTCTTTGACTCCTGATTTCCCTTCACACCTTTTGTTTTGTTTATTTAGAACTTAAATTCTTTGGGACAGAAGTTATGTTTCACTTCTGCATGTCTGGTCCCTACAATAATGCAGGCATGAACTTCTTCTAATAGCATTCTTTTCTCTCTTTTCTGCACAAGCTGCCATAGTCAGTCTTATAGCACTGGGGATGATGTTTGTATTTAAAGAAAACACACACACTGCTTTAAATTGAGCTTCTTTTAAAAAAATACTGACAATTCAGAACGGGCCAAATTCTCTCTTGTTGTAATTTCTGTGAAGACCAATGTAAAAATTAACAAGCAGACAAGCAAAAACAAAACCTAAGAGCAAAACAAAAAGGTCATAGATCAAGCTGTTTTTTGTAAGGTGCAACTGACATTATAAAATGCTGCTTTATTTTTCAAGCTTATTTTATTCTCTTCATTCTTAGTCTTCAGAACTAGAATTGGACCAAATCCTTAGAGTTCAAATATGCAAGTCCCAACTTTTCAAGAGTCTGAGTAGTTCAAAATTTAGGGTTTTTGATTTGTCTCATTATGAAGGATCCAACTGCACAGTTCAAATCTGAAGGCAAACTTTCCTACAGTTCAGAGGTATTCTATGTAAAAGAAACTTTGTTTTAAAGGGGGGAAGCTCACATTTAAAAAACCTTAGATTAAAATATCTATCCCCCAAATAAACATTGCTCTCAGTAGAATTACACAAAGGATGAATTTGACCCACTAGCCTGTCAGCTTTTACTAATCATTAAATGCATTGGATTTTGGAAAACCTTTTCTTCCTCCATAGGAACAACTAAATTTTGGGCTTAAAGCACACTTGACAGTGTCACTTTAGGCCAAATATTTAACATTCAAAGATTTACAATTAATTTTAGTCTTGCAGCAGGATGGAAACTGAATTAGTCTCCAGCTAGGGCTCCTTTCCTGGTTGCTGTAGTTTATTCTTTTGAGTTTTTGTTAATACAGAATGGCTGGTAATCCTCATATTTCATTGTTGGGAGGAATTCTTAGCACAAAGAGAACCTATGCAATGGATGACAGCTTGTTTTTATCCAGCTTGTATTCTTTTTCCTATAAAGTCCTTAGTTTTACTGAGCATCCCTGGTTTAATATGGGAAGGAATTTCACGTAGTACTTCTGGCTCTCAGGCATTTGTAAGAACTGTTAATTTTTGATCAGTTTGAGTCTCCTGGTTGCTAACGTTGATTACAGAAGTGTACGAGCAAGCCAACTTTAATTACAGCTTTTAGTAAGCTTTCATGTCTTCTCAGTCAGTCTTCTTGTTAACAGGCCATGCAACTTTTCTTTGCTTCTCTTCCCTTCCCTTCTGGAAAAAGGGGCCTGGGATTTGTCTCTCTGGGTTCTGTGTACAAAGAACTCTCTCTGTATGTAGATCTTTGCCCTGCATGGTCTCTACATCCATAGCACCCTTACTGACACTATGCAGATGCCCTTCTCCTTTAGCTCAGCAAGGAAGGGGCCACCCCAGGTGCTGAGTCTGAGGCTAGTGGTCAGTGGAGGATGATGGGGCAGTGAGGGATCACATTTGCTATGCACGTTGTCTGCTGCAGGAAACAACTGGACAATCTTCAAGAAAGCTGATGAAGCCCTGAGGCTGTATTAACTCTTGTGTGAAGCCCTTTTGTGCAGTGGGAATCTCCCTTTATTCTCTTCCCTCACTTAGAGAACATGCTAAGAGTCAGTTGCTAGCGCCTTGCTGAGGAAGAAGTTCCAGAGGGTGCTAGGACAATGGTGGATGTTGGGACCCCACCACTGGGGCTTGTTCCATGGACAGGGGTGTTTGGTGTTGGACTGGGGAATGATCTGATGGGTAGTGGAATGACTTGATGGAAAACTCATGAAAGAAACCTTGTGGGACTTTCCAAATGTGGAAAGCTGAGAAGGGGAAAGCTTTCCATCTTGACCTCTGCAGTGATAACCCTGTGCCCTTATGGATATACGAATATGTTTCTTTTATATAATTCTATATGAAGAACCCCCAAAACACATTACAAACTATGGGCTAACAATCCATACTCTTAGTGTATGGTAATACTTAACTCTTTCTTTCCCTTGACCCTGACAAGGACCACAGACAGTCACGCTTGTTCAGGGGATACACATCTCCAGACATTCAGTGTGTGCCCTGCCTGGAAGCTTGAGTAGAGTGCTTTTAAAATAGGACAGCTTTTTTAAAGTTTCCCAGTTGTTCAAAGCACATTGGAGGTTGCCATAACGTTAGAAACAAAACTGTTGGTTTTCTCTCTGGGCTGGCCATGCTAGAAATAAAGTACTTTGTCTTCCATTACCCAGAGTCATCTCGTTCCCTGACTGATAAGTGTCTCATTCCCCGAATGTTTACTCTTTTCATGACTCTTTGCACATCATATGCTTCAGGAATGCCCTCTGCCAGAAAGCTATTCAGGTTAATTCACGTATTTGGGGTGAATACATGAATTAGCACAAATTTGGCTATTGATTCATTTTTAAACCTACCTTCTGTCCCCTTCTTTCCTTGCCTTTTTCAGGGAGGTCAGACAAATCTCTCTTACTCTCTGTTCTCTCCCCCTTTGTCAGACTCGGGGACCAGTTCTACAAAGAAGCCATCGAACACTGCCGCAGCTACAACTCCCGGCTCTGTGCTGAGCGCAGTGTCCGCCTTCCCTTTCTGGATTCGCAGACTGGGGTGGCTCAGAACAATTGCTATATTTGGATGGAGAAGAGGCACCGGGGACCAGGTAGGCACATTCTGTGTGCGCATGCATGTGCAGATAGTAGGCCATTTATCCCTCGTGGGGTTTAATTACTAGAAACTCAAACTGTTAAGGGCCACATGCAGGAGAAACTGCCTAAACCTCCCTGCCTGAGGGGATTCCCCTTGGTAACTACAGAGAGTGGATCCTAATTATTCTTTCTCTCTATCAATAGATGTGATTGTTTTATGTGAA